TGTTGACTAGATAAATTGTAATTTTGGCCTCATTTCCGCCACATCGTGCGGTTGGGTGCTATCATATGATTTTATTCTGTTTAATTAGAGGCCTAATTTTGCTAATGACAGCTGAACTGAATAACCGCGGCCTTCCTCCGTCTCCCAAATGCACCCAGTTTGGTCTCCGGAGGGAACCCCTGATCCAACATGGGCTACCAACCAACCAACCTAGGCCTTCGCGATCTTAAAAACAAACATCGAAAATCAAAAAGTCCAATCCTTGTGCGCGACTCTACCCCATAGGCTTCCTAGTGTGTTGGAGGGTTAGACATCTCTCAACTTATGTGTGATCATGCGTGCGATTCAATGGGATGACCTACGAAGGCAAGCGCGTACGCTGGAAAATGACCTAGACTCTAAGCTTGCCTCTTTTGGAAAGCTGGGAAGTGCCTTTGGAATGACTAATTATGGATATATGCAGCCCTCTAACCAGCCCGCAAATGACACATCCTCTGAGTATAATCTGCTCTCATGCGACATCGAAAATCTTCTTGAACGGTGCGTATCATTTCCTGGGTTATTTTCTTCCCACTTTATTCTCGTGCCCCTTGTTAGTATTACTTAGCAAGGCCCTCTTAAGTGGAAACAACTGCCTTATCCTGGACATTTTGGGATTTTAAACTCTGATCGATCATAGGATCATAGTTGTGTGTTTTCTTTTGTTCATACGAAAGTGGGATATTTTAATTGGCAAATTTTTATAGGGTTTATAGCTTTTTGAGTGCCCGGATCTATTCATCCCATCTTGCAGATGGGAACCATGCATTTCGGCTAGTCGTTTCTTACTCCGGGTCTGGCCATGGCCATATCCGTACTGCAGTACTACCACTTCAAACACGAAGTTTGCGATTTATACTTTCGTGGCCTTAATTCTGTTCTTCTTACCATTTTGGAACAGAATATTGTTAATCTATATCCTCTCTTTGCCTGCTGTCTTTATTGTATAGTCTGACTCAGGTAAACGACAAAATGACTGAACTCGTCTCGTCTATCGAACCTTCGGCCGTGGGCAGCATCAGCCAACAGCATACAGCCAAACGGCATAGGGAGATTCTTTACGATTACATCCAAGACTTCAAACGCATTCGTTCCAGTTACATTAACGCCAAGAATCGGGAAGAGCTTTTTGCTTCAGTGAGTGGATGCTTCTTTGAAAGACATGCTACACCTTCGACTTTCTTTTTCGCTCATATATTTTGCATTTATAGATAGTATTTCATTATCTGACCACTTTTCACATATCGTGCCTTCCTTGGCTTCATACTCGGGCATGCGTTTTATTTCTATCATATCTTTGGCTTTCGTCCACTGCGTTGGCAGCCGCTGTGGATTGCTAGTGTTATTTGTTTGCTGTTTATAACGATACCGACGATCGGGATGATGCACTTTCCTGTGTGTGTGTTGCTGCCACCGGTATTGATGACAAGAAACATGTTGATGATGATGATTATATTGAAAGAACGCGATTTGTGCCCGGCGCACACCGACAGCTCGCTTTAGTTCCACAGTAGGTCGTGGAGCAGATCTGCTAACAAGTTCCTTTGCGGCCGTTGTGGATCTGAAAATGACTTTTATTTATGAAGATCGCGCCAGGCCTTTCGGTCGGGAATGGATACTCGGTCATGCTAGACGAGGAAGTTTTGGAGTCAGCAGACGTCTGCTCCTTAGGTCTAACTTTCTTATGGAAGACATCGGATATAGATTTCATGGGGTTCCTTGGGTATTTGGAATACAGACGGGTCCCCAATAGCCGCTCAGGTTCTATGTTCTAGGTTGTCTCCTCTAGCACTTTGGCTGAAGAACCTAACCACAAGGTTTACGGTCGCCATGAAGGGGTCAGATAAGGATGAGTTCGCCTATCAAGTGGTGCACGCGCGGACTTCGTTTGACTTTGCCAGAGTCGCATAAATCGATGGCTTTAATGCATTCAGTAAATACTGTACCCCTCCCCATGGTGCTCACGTTCCGTCCTCCGAGTTCGTTTCTTTGATCGCGTTTCAAAAGAACAACTGCATATTCATCCACGAACTGGACCGGTGCTGGATGTAAACTAAGGAATCGGATGAACGTGTTCGCGGCTGAGCCCGTGTGTATTGCCAGCTCGTCAGCGCACGGTAGTCTGCCACAGACCAGTTTTAGTGGACATTGGTCCATGAAGCTCTCTGAACCGGTTATGCCATGTGCCCTTATACCCACAAGTAAATAATAATAATTGCCATAGAGGATCACGAAACCACACCTTAAAGGTGCACGAACGGTTCTTTTTAGTTATAGGTTCTGAGTCGAATTCGATCTTCTCGAATTCCTGTGTGAGTCCAACGACTCTAATGACTTTGTTTGAACCCAAGATGACTCTCCGCAGGCTGCAGCCAAGTAACAGTTGGAAATCTTCAAAAATGCGAATTGCTCTGTGAGATATAGT